CTCGCGTCGAAAAAAGCACAAATTGTTTTGGATTTTGCAAGTCAAAATCAAAAGGGATCAAGCTCTCAGTTCTCCTGACACCTGGCAGATTCGCTTGATGAATTCCCTGTTCCCAGTGAACAGCTCCCAGTGCTCTGTACTCCACCCCAGGCTCTGCTCATTACTACAGCAGATTACCCAAAGGTGTCCAAAACACCCAGGTATTTTAATTAATGATACCAGGTCAGTTATTTTCTCATGAAGCAGCTTCTAGCCGAAACAGACAATTCTGTTAATGTCCTGTGAGATGCCAGCATTCAGGAATTTTGACCTTGAACATGTCCTTACTCCGTCCCTAACAGCAGACAACTCTGCAGCTGCGCTAGCCACAAGCTTCTTTCATCCTGAACCTAGCTTGGGAAGCTGAGACACGGCACAGACAGATCTTCAAGACAGGCCGCAGATGGGAAATGCAAAGTAGGGTCGACACTATCTGGCTCTGTTTCCGTAACAGTATTTAACGTACAAATTTAAGTCCTTGCTTCAGTCTTTTCACAGGTCTTTCGCAGATTTAAAACACTAAAGGGGGATTTCAAAGAATCAAGTATCAGATGTATTAGTGTCAAGAGGCAGTAAGCAATAAAGAGATCCGTTTGCAATACGGATTTTTCTTCTCCACGCAGGCTGCGGTTGCTCAGCGAGCCACAAAAGCTCGCTCCACACGCGGGCGCAGATACCTGTGGGCCTGCGCACCAGGATTTCTGCCCATCCCTGCGTCAGCAGCGGGACGTACGCAGCTAAGTTTGCTTTTTCTTTCTGCAGAGGTGTCTGCGGAGCAGGATTCGTTTTCTCTGATCGAGGTGCAGGAGCAGGAGGACCCTGCGTCCCTTGGGAAGCCGAGCCACTGGGAAAATGGGAGGCTGAGCTGTCTAAGGCACCAACCCGTAAGGCATGACCACCTAGTGAGACAGACAGAAAACAGAAGGGGGAGCCACGCTTAGCCAGCACTCAAGACACCTCAGAAGTAAGAAGTCTTTTAAGCTCCTCCAGCAGGTGCACACACAATGTTGGGAGCCTCAGAGAACTTGACCTTCCAGACGTTTCTTACAATCCCCGAGGTTCGATAAACACAGGGGATGCTCAGTGCAAGTGCTCACCACTCAACCCGCCACCAAAGCCCTCCTGGCAGGAGAGGCAAGCAGGAGGAGCACCACCACTCCCAGGCCAGCAGCTGCCGCCGCCTGCCCGCTATTAAACATCTGACTGGTCCAGATTCTCAAATCAGTATCGACACAGGTCTCTTGGGTGGGCACTGGGACGCTTAAGCCTGCGACACGGACCCAGAAACGGCAGCAAGACTCCAGGACAGGAACTTACCAGACATGGATCGGACTCTGTTGCGAGAGCTTCTGCAAACCTGCTGCCCAGCTTGAGATTCCAGTTTGGCTGGAGCTTCTTTTGTCTGTCTCACTTGCAAAACGGGGTCTGAGCTGTGGAAGGAGAAGATATTGATGATATTGAGAGAGGAATCAGTCATAGCGGACAAACGGGACATTCATCTTCTGGTAAGAGGAAAACCTAAAAGGATGCACTGTAACAGTGACTTCATTAGCTGGAAATTTCTAGAAATGGGAGCAAAACTCACCTTGATTCTGTGCTGCCCTGGAGCTCTCCAGAGTCTAGGCCAAGCAGGGACCTCGTCCCTGTTCCAACGCTTGTAGTGATGGTCACCAGCTTGTTACCCACCAGCCACGTCTTCGTCCTTCCTCCAGCCAACAGAAACTCCCCCACAGGAGACCTGGAAGCACATTTGTGAGGCACACAGCTCCCCGACGGCAGAGCACGGAGCTACGCGGGCGGCTTAGCTCATCTAACTACGGAGGAGGCGCTGCCTGCTCGCCTGCTCCGTGCAGCATCCCTACCACAGCCCCTGGCGTTATCCATCGGGATAAGGGATGAGCTGGATTTGGTACCGACTGGCAGCAGGACTACCGGACACACACTACAGCCCAGTTCAATCCTGGACTCGCACCACCAAGCAGAACGGCACGAGCCTTGTCTGAGCTACGTGTCTCCTCCCGGGAAGGGCCAGCGAGAAGAGTGAATGCCCCCTCCCTTGAAGCCAGCTGGCACGACACTCCGTTCTGCAGCGAAGGCCGTGATTATCCAGCAAGGAGACGGAGCAGAGCACTGCTCACAGCCAGCAGGCCTTCAGGCAGCTCCTCCTGGAGACGAGGCAAAGCCTGGCTGGCTCCAACGGACCTCTCTCCTCTCTCACCTAACCTCAGATTCAGCCAAGCCAGATTTTATCCGCGAGGAATGGCTTCAGAGCCTGCGCCTGCCGCAGTCTCCAACGTGTCACAGTAATTTTCCGCTAATAAAGTGGAAAATGAACCTCAAACGAAAGCCTCTCTCCCGTGGTCACCGACTGACCCCTACCTCTTCGGCACCGCAGTGAAGTTTGAAAAGACGTATCGGGCCATCATGTCCAGGCAGGTCTCAGTGAGTTCCAGGTGGAGATTTTTCAAGTTGTCATCAGCCTGAGCCATTGAGTTCTCATCCGCAGAGCCCAGGCTTGAACTAGTGATGGATGTTTGTATCCGACTAGAAGAGAAAGTTTCCAGCTGACAGATCACATTGCAAAAATGCCTGTCCCTGTCACCCGAAAGACAGTGGGAGGCAGAACAACCTGCGATACATGCACGTGCCAGATCAGAGAGGCGGCCAGACATTAAACCCGGGGCATCATACAGATATTTTTGGATCAGCCTCATGTTGTAGATTGTCATTGCAGAAAGTGTATTTTATCTCGAGAGACCGAGAAACATTTAAAAGTCCATCGACTGACTAGGCCAGGCCAGTGCTCTCTGATGTTGGGTGGCCCACGGGCAAGTGCACCAAGCAAACAGCGAGGGGCAGCACCATGCTTTGAGCTGGCTAATCTATAGCGAGGGCAAGCGTCCCGTGACCTGCACAGCTTCCCAGGCAACGTGTTGCCCATGAGCCACAAATCAGGGCACTCTAGACTTAACTTCATAATCCCACGGTTTGCTTTTTTCTCTGTTGCATCCCTTCCCTACATAGATTTCTGTCCTCCCAATTCAACCGCAATGTAAAACCTGATTTAACTTGGAAGAGAAAAAAATTGCACTCTGAACAGGAAAACTGGCACGAGACTAGGGAGCAACTCTGCCTTCCAATCACCCCAGGTAGCAGTGCAAGTTAAAAACAATTGCAGTAACAGGCTGGGGTGGATATTTTGTAAAGACAGCTCCTTATGCCCTCGTAACACAAACTGAGCTGAGGTACAGCCAAACTTTTTATGACGTGGCAACTTCTTTGGCATCATTAAGGGTAATTACCTGCACTCTTAGTTGCTACCATTTACATGTAAATAAAAGAGAAGAAAATCATCCAGCAGATGAATGGGGATATCAGAGAATGAAGTGCCAGAATTGTATTCACAATTCATTCAGTTCCGTGTCTTTCCCCCAAATATCATGTAGTTACAGTCAAAAATAAAACCACAGAAAATAAAGTTCCACGGACAGCAATCCTTATGGAGCAAGGCACAAGTCATCAGGTTCAGATTTTAAACCAACACGTTACAGACAGCAGTTGAACACTCAAGGGAAGTGACCCAGAAATACGGCTTAAAAACGCAGAAATGGTTTCATCTTTCACGTGAGCAAATCGAGGTCTGCAACCAAAACTTGTTTTCTTTAGCTGTGAAGGCACCAGCTTCGTACGGGCTGAGCTCACATTTCACTGCTCTACGGAAAGACAAACTCGAGTTTTCACGGCATCATTCTTCAGACCAGAATAACCCCGTCAGCTCCCTGTGCCTCAAAGCACAAATCCTAAACCGAGGCCAGAACGATTCCTCGTAGCTCGGGAGGAGGGCCTGTACAGAAGTTTGCAGAGTGGCAAAAACCCGTCCTGGGGCAAGTCACTGCTTAGAAGGCTGAAGCTTTAGTGAGTTTAACCAGGACTCTCACTTGCACAGAATGCAACCTTTTTCCTTTCTTTTTTTTTTTTTTTTTTTTTTTTTTTTTGTGTGTGTGTGCGTTGTTTGTTGGTTTGGTTTTTCCCCCTTTGAAAATAGACATTTTTGTTGCTAAAGCATCAGAGAATAGGGCAAAGTAACCATACACACCACAGGGCGTGGTGTGACAACCCACTAGCTGGCGTTGGGAAGCCATGGGATAACCACGGTACCTTCCCAAGACCTTTGACTGCGGCTGAGGCCAGTTTTTTATTGCGTAACAGAGTCATGCAAGCATCCCACATGCAAATCCACCCTGCTTCCACCCACCCTTGCGGTAAAATTTCCAAGTGCTGAGTTGCTCTTGGATTCTCCCCACTTAAAGTGCCTCTACCTGCGGACCACATGTTCAGACACACTGATGCTGCGGGATCGGAAGGCATCAACTGCAGAGGATTCTTTCAGCTCTTTCACTGGAGGAGAGTTATTCAAGCCTTGCTTTGCATTTTTGGCTAGTCTTAAACTACTAGGTGGAGAAGCACCAAGCCCCAAAAGAGGTCACAGGAAGGGAGGAAATCATTGTAGGGATGTAGGTTGAAAGGTCACAGGTCACAGGGTCAATATTGGGGGATCCCGGAGGGTGATGTAAAATAAAACAAATGCCAAAAAAGGAAAACAAAAATTAAAACGTACAAACAAGCAGAGCTGAAAGCATCAAAAAGACAAACCACATTTTGAAAACAAGATTTTAAATGTGCTACAAAACAAATGAAATTAGTACAAGTTAAAAACAAAAAACTGATTGAAATGAGAGTTGGAATACTGCGCTGTTAAACAAAGGCAAGAGCACCCGAATGCTCCTTGGGCACAAATTTCCCAAGCCTGAGAAGTTTTGTGCCGTTCGACCACCTCGTGTTGCCCCAACTCCCCACTTCAGCACGGCTAAAATCCCGACTGCTTCCACAGAGACCAGACCCTGACACGCTTCACCAACAGCAGGTAGCAGCACACTCTTCTAAGAGACACAGGCATGTGTCAGCCTTCTCTAGCTCTGCTAGGCCTGGCCCAAATCTGAGCTTCTACCCTGACCCACAAAGACACCCAGGGCCAGTCGGAGGTGCCCCTTAGCTCAGCTCGAGACGCTGGGGGAGACTCAGCCCATCGACCCACGACTGCTCCTTCCGACGCTGCGGAGAGGAAGGGCGAGGAGACAAACGCCCTCCTGGCTGCTGCTTTTCTGTCAAACAAGCTACTTTATTTCAGGTGGCTCGAGGGAACCCACTTGGTTTTCAACTGGAACAGAAAGGAAGAGAAGCCTTTACGCTGTCAGGTGCCCACCACGTGGGGGAGATGACAGCAATTAGCACCCCAGCGGCACTTTAATTAGACATAGCTGAGCTGCGTGCCTGGCTCAGCACTAATTTGGACAGAACAGTTGGTCCAGCAGCTCACATCCCCAGCTATTAAAAGCAGATACTGATTTAACCCTTCTGGCCCTCCCTAAACATGATTTATCTGCTATCCTCCTTTCAGTGCATTACTACATTTCAGAGAGCCGCCTGGAGGGATCAGAATTTGTTCGTCCTCCCACCAACCTCTGACAGATTTTGGCCACCACTGGAGCTGGGACGGCAGAGAGGAGAGGCTCAGGCCCCGAGAGAATCGCCTACGCCAACAGCATGCCACTCAGCACCCTCGGGAACCGCTGGGATCTCGACCTCTTGGAGCACCCAGCACCTCAGCTAGGGCACACAAACGCCTGTTCTTTGGGCTTAAGGAGTGAAAACCAAGCACACAAGCTTGCCAAGCGAGGAAACAGGTATCTGCTCGAAGCCCATTCCCTCCCTCACTTGGCCAGAACCCAAGCTCAGACAGACTCAGGCAGCGGCATCCCGCTGTTCTGGTGTTTCAGGCTGCTGCCTGAGCACAGCCCACGCTCCTTAGCAGAGATTTCTGTGGAAAGTCACCCAGCAGCGTTAGCAAAAGCCTTTAGATACAGTAGTATTCCAACCTGGTAGAATTTAACAGGTTTTTTGGAAAAAAAAAGATTAGTTGAAATTCTAATTTGAGAGACGAGTGTCAAAAGGCTTCTCTTCCAAGTTTCTGAATGGAAAGAGGAGGAGATGGGAGAGATGAAACACAAAACAGGGTTTACAGCTACAGCACAGGGCAGGGATGGTGTTTCTTCATTGCAAGATACTCAGTGAGCCTTGCAGTTGAAGTAGAGGCACTTTCCCCAGGGCTCACACGCCCCTGTGTGCTCACTGCACGGTAACACTGAAGCAAGTCAAGTGAACCAATTTAGGTGAGCCCTGCAGGTAAAAGGACGTTAGGAAAACCCTGAACACCTTCCACGGAATATTCTCCTATCCTGGCAAACGTTACTCGGAGATACTGCTGGCCAGGTACCTTCTGACTTCTAAAGACATCAGGCTTTGCTCAAAACTGACTTAACAGCTTCAAGATTCAAAAAAAGGATCAGGACATCCAGCTACGGGGGAGGCAGCTATCTGCCCCCCAGCACACTGACCGGACAGGTCACACTACGGAAAAACACCGCCTTGGCGCTCTCAACTTATACTGGTTGGCAACCACGACAATTTCTCTGGCAATCATTTAAAGAGCTGTTACAAGTCAATTATCAAAAGGAGTTAATGCTATCAATACGAACACGGTATTCTGTTACTTCTGGTGTTACCCTTCTCTATCGCTTCTGGTAGCACTGTACTGACACACGTCAAACTCACAGAACTGTTAATTTTTGAAAATTAACAACAAAAAGCCCCACACCTCACAGCAAAGGCTCACAGAACAGCCAGTGATGCCCTCATACTGTCAGCTTGGCTTGATCCCAGCTTTTTACCAACCTAAGCTTGTCTTGGACCCACCCCCTGACCCAAAGAGGTTTACTTCGCTTGCTTAAATGCACTGTCAGATTCTGGATAACTAGACCCAGGCTCCCTCAGAATAACACAGGGAAGGGTGTGAGCACGGGAACAGGGAACGCAAGACCCTGCTGGAGTCAAACTTAATTTACCTTTTTGGCCTCTCATTCAGGCTTGTACTGCGAGCCCTGAAACTGTCCTTCTCAGGTGTGTCGTCGAAGGAAAGGAGGACGTTCGAGCGCAAACCCTGCCGAGCGGGACAAACGGGTAACGGTTGGAAGGGCTCGGACGCGCGGCCGAAAGGCTGCAATCACGGGCCAACGCACGAGAACTCGCAGTCAGTTTTGAAAAAGACGCTGACAAACAAGGTAGCTTCAAAGAGAGCCTTTAAACTTATCAAACCACTAAAAAGTCACCATTTCGATTACGTGGTGTTTGATTCCGTAGCGCCCATTACCTTCGTAATGAAGGGGACAAAGTCCTTTCGGAAGGGAAGGCGACACCGAATGAACCACATGGCTATCACGTGGTGGGCCAGGCAAACGATGTACTGGTTAAACCTACAACAGCAGAGAGATCTCCACAGTTTCATGCTGCGTTATGATGCTGTTCCAGAACTGAACAGAAGGACTTTTCCATCTGAGAAACAGAACTGTTCCTTTACCTACTTTAAGTATAAAGGAAAAAACCTCCAAAGTTTTGTTCAAGACAAACAGGTATTTTGTCCAAAGTATGTCCCATCTTCTGGAGGGAAGATACCAGAATGAGTACGATGATACTTCCCTCTTCTGGAGGGAAGATACCAGAATGAGAAGCCTGGAGGTACCAGAATGAGCAATATCCTATAAATAACCTTGACCCAAGTACTATAAAAAAACCCCATGTCTCATTCTCTTCGTTTTACTGACGAGGAAGAAGCACATTTGCCGTGAACTTACTTGGAAGGGTTTGTGTACGGCAGGGAGATGGCGAACACGCTGGCGTACTGCTCTGCTGCGAAGTTCCTGTAGAGGTGAGGCAGCCTCGCTAGAGCTGGAACAGTTCAAGAAGCAAACCCACACAGGTGAGCTCTGAACCCAAGCTATTCAACATCCCAATTCCATTTAATCTGAATTGGTTTGTTTCTCCTACATCACGGGCTGGCACAGAAGCCAGCAGGGCGGTACCGTTCCGTGCTATCTAAGCGGCAAGGGGGAGCAAGCAGCTTGGTATTTCCCATCACCCTACGGCTGCCCTACACAAAGCATGTCTCTTCCTTCAGTGTGTGCTTTAAAGAGAAAACCAGCAACAAACAAGGGATGATCTTGAGGACGGTGCGAGGGCATCACCAAGAAACCCTTGCAGTGCATTCCACACGACTAACGCGACCCGCACACCCACACTCAGCACAAACAATACATTTACAGCTAGAGAAGATCAAAAGCAGAAGAACATTACAACTTACTTGAAAGGAATTCTAAGAGAGGGATTGCCATATTGGCTGTAGCAGAAATGTGGGTTAATTTGACAATTAAGACGGGAAGGGCCTTTATGATGATGTCGGGCATCTCGACACTACAGACAGAGAGCGCCACAACGCACTGGTTCGCACAGCGGTAAATGAGACCGTGCTCCAGGCAATACACTATTTCACGCTGGAAGAGTAAAAAAGAAAAAAAAAAAAAAGTCAGGAAAACCTCTGGCGTACAATCTCCTGACCTCAGTGAGCACTCCAGAACGGCTTGCGAGGCATCGCTACGTGATACGATGCACGTGGATTCTAACCCAAAATGCGCTAACACAGGACCCTAAACAACGTTGCATGTACTCTAGGCCAAAACCTTAAGATGGGACTTTAATCAAGTAGACATTTTAGAAATTAATTTTTAACTTTCTGATTAAATAGAATTTTTATGTTTATCAGGGTCTTCCAGCAGGGGGTAAAGTCACCCAGCAACCTGCGAGGGGGGACAGGGAGGGATGGAGAACAGTGAATCCAACCGATCCGACAGTCACCGCTGCACAACGTCAGCGAAGCACTTTTTTACCCCTGACCCCACCCCAACTACAGCAGATGCAGCTTTTTACAGCAGAAAAGGGCAGCATGACCTTGCACTTCAGTCTGCTAATCAGCTGGCATGAGAAAATGCTCTACTACACAGCTCAGGCCCCATCCCCCCTACACCCTCTTCCTTTCCCCGTACCTGCTTGGCTTTGTCCAGGTAATTGTGGTAAGATATTAAAGCCGTCAGGACTGGGACTACAGCCAGGTGCAAATCAGTGCGAGAAAAGCCTTCTGGGGTACCGTGGAGCCTGTCGGTGGTCTTCTTGTCTGTGAGCTGATACATCACACAGCAAGTTGGAACACCTCACGCTAAAAATACTGTCTAAAAGGCAGCAGACAGGCACTGCCCACAGCTCCCTTTTCACACGTATACACACACACGGAAAGAACACGCGTTATTACCCACTTCTGTACCCAAAACAACCCTGAAAAAAGGGAAGGTGAGTGAGGACTGACAACCACCATGCTAATCTTCAAAACACTAGGCTGAAGGAAAAAACCAAACAAACCCTCAACCGCCCCACCTGCCGCCAACCAACTCTCAAGCAAACTAAGGATCTGGTGACTACACACCAGCAGGGTGCAGCGCATTACCATGTAGCTCAATGCAGAGGCCAGGAGGTCTATGTTACAAGGAGAGGTTAAAAATAGCACTTTATAGCGGAGGGATTCAGGTAATTTGTTGAGGACCAACTTCAACACCTTCCAGTCTGTCTCCTGGAACGAAAGAAAAAGTTAAGGTGGAAGATCTTTGTACGATTCCAGTCCAGTTTGAAAGTAAGACCAATCAAATTTCAGACAACACGCCATTTCCTAGGCAGATGTATGTCTTGTCACAGTAGCTACATAAAAAGAAGCGGCATTTAGCTGTCGCAAGTTAGTTCCTGCCTGTCATCCAGCTCTAGGTGCAATATTGGCACCGCAAACTGGAAGACAACTTGTATCCAGACCTGAGCTCAAAAAGACGGAGCCAGAATTCGGTTCTCCTAACCACCAGCACAAATCAACTCCCCGTGCCGACACCCCCTCAGCACGTAACTACGCCCAGTGCAACACCAACGAACAATTCCTATTTACAGTTTATCAGCGACTGAAACATTTTTCAATTCTCAAAACACTTCCACAACTTGCAGGAGGAGGGTTTCTCTTGGTTTCAAATGCCCTTTCAGAAACAGGGTGCCTTATCTGATCTGTGCTTAACAAACGCATTTTTTTGCCCTCGCTGAAACCAAAGCTTTGCTTCACTCCCCAAGAGCTGAACTGCTGCTCCCACTGCTGGCAGTGAAGCTGCACGGTCACACACAGGCCCTGCCCAAGAAGGAAGATTTATGTACGGCTTTTCAGACGTGAGATACTCTGGGGTGGAATCCTCCAGCCAGGTGGCTGATGCCGACAGGTTTCACAGGAAGATGCCAAGTGTCATTAAGCGCGGACGTACCTGCTTCAAACACTGCAGAAGGACGCCGAAGACCATGGAGTAGGGCAGGTGCCCTATACGAATGGTGGCGTTCTGGGAAGGCACGCTGGGACTTCCTGAAGGTGGAGAGAGCGTACCAGTAGGCTTTTTCTCAGAAGCCCTCTTCTCTGCTTCTCTACAACACGGAGAGGGAGGAAAAAACACGTGTAAGGGAAAATCAAGATCAGAACAGCCTATTCACGTGACCTACACGTAGCCAGTTTAATGACCAAACAACATAAATTGCATTTTCAATTAAAAAAAAACCTACAGGATTGCCCAGTAGACGGACAGCAATGAGTCAGTTTGGTCAGGTTAAGGATTCTTCTATCCAGGCCCCTAGCAAATCTAGAAAGATGACTTTTGGGGTGTGTCACACAAAGAACTTCAGACCGAGCTTTAAATTAAAGATAGCCAGATTTGTACAAATCATTGAATCAAACCTCAATGTGAAAACTGGTTTCAGGCAGGAAATTGCAAATATTTTTGTGAAGCTTTGTGAGCAGGAACAGCAATTTCACATCTGTGATTGAGAGCTCTGTAGGTAAGCGATTTGTACGAACAATTCACCAATGAGTCATTAGTTGAGACAATCCTAGTGTGTAACTACAGACTTGTCTAGCAGCTGGTTCATCAGGATTTGGACGG